GTTATCAGTTACACAGGTAGGTTATCAGTTACACAGGTAGGTTATCAGTTACACAGGTAGGTTATCAGTTACACAGGTAGGTTATCAGTTACACAGGTAGGTTATCAGTTACACAGGTAGGTTATCAGTTACACAGGTAGGTTACCTGTATGACAGGTATGTAGGTGGCCATCATCAAGATAGATATAGGTAGGTTATCAGTTACATAGGTAGGTTATCAGTTACACAGGTAGGTTACTTGTCAAGGTATATAGGTGGCCATCATCGGGTATATAGACTGGTTACCTTAATGCCCAGGTGTTTAAGTAGGTGTCCAGGTACAGGTAGGTAACATTAGTGCCAAATATATACGTAGGTTACCTCAATGCACAAGTATATAGAGAGGCTACCTCAGTGCCGAAGGTTACCATAACGCCCTGTTACACAAAATGCCCAGGTATTATGTTACTCCGATGTACACATATATGTTACGTAAAAGTCCAAGTAATGTACAAACGTGTGTTAAATAAAAACAAAAGTGGAGTCAAAAAGTATAACTTCGAGTCAATCGGCCAATACGGCAAGCTATAAAAGTAATATTAAAACAATATTTTTGGATATCCTTTGTCTTACACTGAATTAAGAATATAAATGTATTTATAACATACACGCCACAATACATAATAGATAACATGTTTGTTGACAGAAGGCTACGAGTGTAAAGCCCTAGCCACGGGGAGCGAGTTCTTCTCCGCCATCAAAGTGCCTTACTTGTTCATGGAGTGGCGCCAGATGACAGACAGGCAGCACCGCCAGCAGACGACCTGCAGACCTGGCGAGATCAGGGCGCTCGGCCATTTCCTGGCCGACAGGGGGTACGTTCCCCACGAGGTCAGGTCTGGCATCAAGCTCAACTCGTACAACGCTGAGGAGTGGAGGGTCGGGGATGTGTACTGGAGGCTGGGGGATCAAAACCTGTTGGTGCCGTCTATGTAAAGGTCGTGGTCAAGTAGTGGACGGCTGTTGAAACACGTGAGATGGAGGACCTCGGATCAAAACCTGCTGGTGCGAGATCGTGGTCAAGTAGTGGACAGCTGTCAAATTACGTGAGATGGAGGGTCGGGGATCAAAACCTACTGTAAGCCGTGGCCTCATGGAGACCACTAGTGTAAAACATGAAATGCAGAGTCAAAGGTCAAAATCCAACGCACTATAACAGACCACAACTACGTTTGATGGTCAAGGATCAAACCCTCTCCTATCGATAATGTACAAGTCACACAGCACACAGGCACACTATAATATCAGCAGTTGGACCAATGAGGCATGAAACCCTATACCAGCCATGGTCACACAGTAAAGGATCGTACTCTCAAGGTAGTGAAATTAGAAATACATTACATGTGTGGCTACACGACTATCTAGATATACTCCTGTTGACATACACATCACGTGGAACATACACGTGTTGCTACACCACAATCTAGATATACTCCTGTTGACATACACATCACGTGGTACATACATGTGTGGCTACACCACAATCTAGATATACTCATGTCAACATACACATCACGTGGTACATACATGTGTGGCTACACCACAATCTAGATATACTCATGTCAACATACACATCACATTTACATACATGTGTGGCTACACCACAATCTAGATATACTCATGTCAACATACACATCACATTTACATACATGTGTGGCTACACCACAATGTAGATATACTCCTGTCAACATACACATCACCTGGTACATACACGTGTGGCTACACCACAATCTAGATATACTCCTGTCAACATACAAATCATGTGGTACATACACGTGTGGCTACACCGCAATCTAGATATACTCCTGTCAACATACAAATCATGTGGTACATACATGTGTGGCTACACCACAATCTAGATATACTCCTGTCAACATACAAATCATGTGGTACATACATGTGTGGCTACACCACAATCTAGATATACTCCTGTCAACATACACATCATGTGGTACCTACATATGTGGCTACACCACAATCTAGATATAATCCTGTCAACATACCCATCACGTGGTACATACATGTGTGGCTACACCACAATCTAGATATACTCCTGTCAACATACACTAACTTGGTACATACATGTGTGGCTACACCACAATCTAGATATACTCCTGTCAACATACACATCATGTGGTACCTACATATGTGTCTACACCACAATCTAGATATACTCCTGTCAACATACACTTCACTACATATCTCTTCCTGTTCTCTCTGTACAATTCACTTTCTAGAACTATCTACCCATCACAGTAGCTCAACGGTGCCTATTCTCACTATCAGATCTGTCCCTGTCAACACTAAATAATCTAGGTTATAGATCTGCTCAGCCACCGCTATAAAACCACTTTAGAAATGTCCCTGCCATCTTCATAAAAAAACCTCTTTATAGATATAGTAGATCTGTCCTGCCAACCCTCACAAACCACTTTATAGATCTGTCCCTATCAACCCCATGTAGATCTGCTCCACCATTTCAATACAAGCCACATACCTCAATCAAACCCAACCCTACAGTTAACACCAGGAGTCTCTATATACCTTCACTAGAGACCACATAATCAAACCCAACCCTACAGTTAACACCAGGAGTCTTTATATACCTTCACTAGAGACCCATTGCCACACAACCCTACAGTTACCATCAGAAGACTTTATGTACCTTCCCACAGTCAACAAGTGAACATTACAACTGTGATTATATAATGTTGAGTATAAAGCTATGACAATATTATAAATGCATATGTGTGTATGTGTATGTTGAAAGTAAATATGTACAAAAGCCAACTCATTTATGAATTGCAATTGTTATGATATCTTTTGAAAACATTACATGGGCATTGTTTTATTTTCCTGTTTGAGTAGAAATAAATGATTACATTTTGTTGATGTGTTGAAATGAATTATTACATTTTGTTAATGTGTAGAAATGAACAATTACATTATTACATTTTGTTAATGTGTAGAAATGAACAATTACATTTTTTTGATGTGTAGAAATGAATGATAACATTTTGCTGATATGCAGAAAGGAAAGATTACATTTTGTTGATTTTTTTCCATTTTGAATTTTGATTCTAATGTTGTAATTTAATTTAGCCTAATGCACTCAACTGACCATCACAACTGTATTGAACTATCAATAAATTAAATCAAAGGCAAAAATATTATAATGGAACAAACTTATGGATAACAAAATATTAAAAAGTCAATTGGTGAGTTTTTATTTTCTTCTTTTTTTGGTTGTTTATATCTTATTGTTTTTAATTCATTTTATTGTTTTAACAACTACTGTATCATTAGGGATGGTTCACATATTATATAACACAAAAGGTGGTTATTTATTATTTTATGAGTTAGACAATATTTGTAATTATTAATACTTTATTTATGTTCAATGCTAAATTTCTAGAGAACTTTCATAACTGTGTATATTATTATTATTATTATTTGAAGAGCTTTAGCTGTAAAGACAGTTAACACCAATGTCCTAAACACAATTTTGTGGATATTTGGTCTATTTGTGTGTAGGAGGGAGGAGGGCCTAGAACTGTTTAATAATTTGGGTGGAGGTGGCCTATGAAATTGTTATATAACATTAAATGGGGTGGGTTTGTGGTTTATAAAAGTCATATTTTTGTGTTCTATAATATCATGATCTCTTATCAGTTAGACAAGCAAGCTAGTGATTTGATATTAATGTGCAAAAATATTTGTTTAAAATGCCTGGGAATCTAGATAAATACTGGCTTTAAAAACTTCAAGCGCCAAAGCTTTTTGCATTCCCTTAGAGATTTCTAACATTTCATAAGCATTAGACATTCATTATTTCAAACCATGAAATGCAACCATATTTCCTTCCCACACATACAGAACTCAATTATAACATATTATAAAAATTGGGTTTTTAATTAACATATAAATCATTTAAACCCAGATTAATGTTTTGTTTTTTTTTTTTTTTTTTTTTTTTTTTTGTAAAAAAAATAAAATGGAAGAGTTATTTCCCTGTTTTTTTTTCAAGTTATAAAAAACTCCTATGGAAATGATAGATTGCCAAATGCAATAAATAAAAAGTACTGGTGATGGCTAAATGTAGTGATGTTAAATATTATAAATATTTTTTGAGATTCATAATGCAGTAAAATTCACCCAAAGAAAATTAGATCAAAAGGTGACCAGAGGAGGTAACCCTGGATGGCAAGGAGCTTAGAAGGCTGCAGTTATATCTGTTGTTTCTGCTATCTACTTAATCTTACATGTAATGATTGTAAATCATGTGTATATAGATACATAATCCATCTTTTTCTAAAATAAACCAATGCCTGTTAAATTCCGCTTAATTCTCAGGTATACATAAGAAGACATAATATATCATTTGTTTTCTAACAATATTAACTGAAAATGGGGAAGAGAATGGTTAGTCAGTAATCAAACTGAAGATAGGTATAAGTGTTACTCTGTCATGTGTCATATCATTCACTTTCTGTTACTTAGAACAAGTTTTGAACAGCTTAAAGCTAATAGTCAACACAACCATTTATAGTATTCAAGCAGTAATATCACAATAGGGGTATGAAGGGTGCAGACTGCACCTGTTGACACCAGTGTAATCTGTATTCATGTTGGGTATTTTTATATTGAGAAACACAAAATAGACAAAAAACACAAAGTAGAAAAAAGCACAAAGTAGACAACAAAAAACAAAATAGACAAAAAACACAAAGTAAACAAACAAAAAACCACAAAGCAGACCAAAAACACAAAGTAGACCAAAAACATAAAGTAGACAAAAAACATAAAGTAGACAAAAAAACACAAAGTAAAAAAAAAACACAAAGTAAACAAAAAACACAAAGTAAACAAAAAACACAAAGTAGACCAAAAAACACAAAGTAGACAAAAAAAAACTATAAAGCATACTAAATACATCCAGGGTATAAAATGATAACAAGTACCTTGTGAGGTCCAAGCTCAAGAGCCATAACTGTAGTGAGAGAGTCCACTGCACCTTTAGAAGAGCAGTAGACAGCGTGGTCTCGCACAGCTTGTGTTGATGCTGCACTGGACAGGTGCACGATGGATCCACCAGACTTTCTGTCCAGCATTGACTTAGCTACCACCTGATATCAGCAAACATTTGTTAGATTTAATTGAAAAAATAACATGCTAAAAAATTATTCCTCAAGTCAATTTTTGTATCCATTTTCTTGGAATCAATTTTTTCTACACATTTTAAATTACTAATTAAGTTCTCAGGCTAACTACATATGTATTAGAGTGCCTAGAGACAGAAAGTATATATTTGCATTGACTTCTATGTGAAAACTACATAACCTTTGCATATTTCATTAGTATTTAGTGGTTAGAAATATTGTTTATATAAAATCAAAGCTAAAATTTAGAATAAGTTTGCAATGGTATACTCATTTTTTGGACAAAATTATGTTTTTTTATTAAAAGTTTATTGATTAAAGTTTAGCTTAACCTAATACTTTTTAAAAGTTTTAATTTAAAGAACAAAGATGAAACTAGCAATAATATATTGCTATTATCCATAGTATACATATTACTATTATGACAATTAAAAGTATTTAATAATTATTTAACCAATGCACTAGAATAAGCCATAATTTAAAGTTAAGGTTTGAATAAATTCCAATATCAAAATAATTCAATTACCTGTGATACATTGAACAGAGCTTTGACGTTTGTGTTGAAAATGCTGAAGATAAAATGGACAAAAATACATCAATAAGGTTAAACAACACTGGAGTTTGCTGAGCTCTTTTGGTTTGTTTAGAAAAAGATTTACAAAATTTATTTTCTTAAACTAAAATTAATCCTATTCCTCTTCAGTTACAAATAAATTATAAAAATTTAAGCTTGTACATCAAAGTTTTACTTAACAGTGCCCAAGGATTACTTTCCTTTACTGTATGGGAATACAATGCGTATGGAAAGAACCAATTCTGAAACCCATAGATCTAAGAAAGTGTGGGCCTTATTTTACTACTCTTTCCCTTATTAATTATATTTTACAAACATTCGATTATCTCTCTATATTATACTATTCAAACCATTTATACATAAATGTTTTAAATCTGAAATTTTACCTATAAAACATGCATAAGAAACAGATGAAATACAATTAACAACTTACACATACAATGAATATATCTTTTAATTAAAAAAATTACTCACAAATCAAAATCTTCTTCTTTTACATCAACAAAAGGCCCGATCCTTGAAACCCCTGCACTGTTGACCAGCAAGTCGAAATGGCCTAAAGATTCAACAGCAGCCTTGGCTTGTGGCCAGTCACTGAGATCTACAGCACAGATTTCAATGGAGGGACACTGAAATTTCATGGAACAAAACAGTTATGAAGCATCACGTTAGATGTCTCCATATATAAAAAGCAATTACTTTACTATGAGAAAATAATTTTTGTATTATATGAAAATGTATTCCTTGTTGCTTCAGATAATTACAATTGTATTGTACTACATTATTTATAAAGATTCTCTTATAAAATTTTATTAAATTCTTTAGCTAACATAAAATGATTTGAACAGTTGTAGGTCTAATAGTTACAAATGTTAAAAGTTAGTAGTATCAATTTGATGGGTTTTTTATTTAAAATATTATTACTTCATTTTTAAGCGCATCCAGATCTGCTTGGCTTCTGCTCACTGCAACTGTTTGGGCGCCACATGCTGCTAATTTTAGAGCTATTGCTCTGCCAATTCCTAGAGATGTTTACAATCAAAAGTGACAACAATAACAATGATAATGTTGTTGTTTAAGATGGGACATTGTGGCCTAGCGGTAGAGCGCTAAACTGCTAACCGGAAGTCTCGAGTTCAAATCCAGGTTCAAGAAAACAACTTTCCTGAGTCCACCCAGCTCTGATGGTTAGGAAGAATAAAGGAGGCTGAGAATAGTGCTGACCACACTATCCCTTCAGATGGTGAGGTCACAAAAACAGGTGAACTCTACTTCATTTTCCCCTTGGGCCATCAGGTTTTCAAAAAGGGAACTTAATATTTAATACTGCCAAGAGTAAGGGCATACTTTTGAAATTTGAAACAAGGGCAGCGGTGAAAGAATAAGCACTTTGATTAATATTGCAGAGGCCTTGCAACTTATTCAGACACCTGCAGAAAAACTTTCATTTTTGCCACCCCTGCTTCAATTTGGAAAGCTCATGGTAATTTTTACCAGTCATTATCCCGTAGCAGTTGTTTGTTTTTTTTGTGTCACACGAGTGATGTAGAAAATTGTCTTTAAACTCAAGTAGCAGTTTCTTAACTTTGGCTGTTAAATTATAACTCAATCAGAGGCGTGGCGACCCCTCCCGGCGTCTGGGGACAAACTTTCAATTTGGCGCCCCCCCCCCCCCCTATATTTTTTATATTTGTAATTCAAAATAGCAGATAAAATTAGCTTATTTTGGCGCCACTAGGGTCAGCGCCCGGGGACATATGTACCCCCCTGCCCCCGGTTGCTACGCCACTGAACTCAATCATGCAGCTCAGAATGAGCTTTTCGTTTCTAGTTCTACCATTTTTGGGATCTCTCTAGAATAGGCACCTGGAGTTGCCACCCCACCCGCCCTCCCCTAGTTACACCTAATATTGTGTAAAAAAATGTATCAAACTTATATAGAAAATTTATTAGTTCTTTTCAATTTTAAATAGTTAATAAAGAGTATTTTAATCCATTGATACCCTAAAAAACAATGCTCATCTTACCTTTGCCTGCACCTGTCACGAGTGCACGCTTTCCTTCAAATTTAATTTCCATGTTTTACTGAAAAAAATGTAAGTCTGTAAGAATAAGGGATTGTGTACATAATTAGACAACAGTGTGACATTTAGATTCAACCTTTTCCCAGTGTATTTTTATTGTTTAACAATAGTTTCTCATTTTACATTAATTTCTTAGGGGAAACCCATATGTTGTGATAGCCACAATCCCTAATTAGTAATTATAACAATATAGCACTTAAGAGTCTTAAGACAATTTATTTGAATTTAAGATCTATATTTAATTATTTAACTGAATAAATGCATCAAGGGTCCCTAGTGAGTCAAAATTTCTGTAAATAGGGCCTGTAAGTGTAATACTAGTAATAGTATTTAGGATATAATGATTATAGAGATAGTAGCCTATGCTGACGTTTTTGATGATCGTGCAAAAAATGCTATAGGCCCTAACTATCATATGGATCATTCATAGATCTAGATCTGCAGGCTTAATAATAAAATAAAATTAGGCTTACAAATAACAAAAAGAATAGGCCTATAGATTCTCTAGATTCTAGTCCTAACCTAATTATAAAATAATATTATATTATTATTATTTATTAATATGACGTTGGTTCTGATATTTTTTAAATGCTAATTAATTGCTTAACTACTTTATAACTTAAACGGGGCCTAATTAAAAAAAAAAAAAAAAAAAAAAACCACGCATCATTGCCGGCTAAGAAAGTAAAAGTAAAATTTACTGTAAATCCAAAAACATTAGAAAGTTCTAGATTCTAGCTAGATCTAGATCTAGTCTAGAATACTCTAGCTCTAGAATACTCTAGATATTCAGATATAGATCTACATATAATACTTGAAATCGCCCACATTTATTATTTAAATACAGTTGAGTAACGGACTATTTAATTTTTAGTAGGCCCTAAATAATAATTAATAATAAAAATATAAAAATAAGCTATTAATTAACTTTAAGTAATAATTCTATATAAAGTTGTGTTACAAAGGAATTTTTTTTTAATCTACCGTAGGCCTATTAGTCTATAGATCTAGTTAGAATTTAGAATACTATAGATCTATTCTAGATCTATATAGAATATAGATCTAGAATATAGATAGTAGATAAAGATTCTAAATCTAGATTCAATAGAGATTGTGTTCTAGATCTAGAATTCAGACATCTAGATACCGTATAATGAGTACTAGACTCTAGAACTAGTGAGTAGATCTGTATTGTAAATTAAAGAACATCTAGACTAGATCTGGTAATCTATCGTTTTAGATGCGTAAAAGTAAAATTGGCTAGTAATGTGCAAACAAGTTGCCTCATTGTTAATGCTTTATTGCTAATAAATTATTAGAAGTATATTGAATATTGTGATATATTTGTGTCAAATATTAGAGATAACTGAATAATAAACCAAAATCAAGATTTGCTATATGAATAAACATCGGCAATCTGTAAGTAAGAGTGGCTTCCCCTGAATCTCAAACTATAATTTTACAAAAAAAAAAAAAACTTGATGGCTGCTTAAAGTAAATGAGCTTGGCTGCATCTGGTGAAAACATCGCTCGTCATTATTTTTTACTGAAAAGTTTTAATACAATTGTTTAAAAACATGTAAATTAATGAAACTTTGAAACATTTTCGTCACTTTCAAAACATAAATCCTCCTAAAAATGTGAAATAGGCCTAATTAATATAATTTAAGAGTCACCTTATTTTCACATTACTAGTCTCGGTCGATTTTACGTACCCAAACGATAGATTACCCTAGATCTAATGATAGGTCAAAGGTAGTTCTAACTAGATCTATCAATATATCTAAGTTACGTTACTTGTAAAATCTAATCAAGTGGAAGTTAGATTTACACAAGCAGCTGTATGTGTAAAAGTAGGTCAAGTTTTTTTTTAATCAGTTACAAATAAAAATAGGCCTAACTTATAACAAATGAAATTATGAAAGGCCTACTTTAGGTTACAGTAAAACATTTGAAATTGTAGACTCCGGTAATGATGAGGAGTAAACAGAAATAGGGTCATCCATAAATGACGTCACACTTTTTTTGACGATTTTTACCCTCCCCCTCCCCTTCGTCACACATCGTCACAAAAAGCCAGACCCCCTCCCCCAAAATGACGTCACACCTCCGCCTACAACCACCCCCCCCCCCCTCAAAATTTCATTTGAATTTTTCTTTAAACATCAATATTTTTCCAAAATGGTATCTGAAATCTGTCAAAATAGAGTATTTTAATCAATTCATATTACAGTTTATTAAAACCGTTTTCTAAAACGCGAAATAAAGGCAAAAACTCGTTTTCTGACATTGCTTTTTTATATTGCAAAAGTGTGGCGTCACACACTCTGGAACCCCCCCCCCCCTCCTCCCCCTCATCACACATCGTCACAAAATTACGGACCCCCCCCCCCCCTACGAGTGTGACGTCATTTACGGACGACCCCAATGATAAATCTAGATTTAGAAACAAAAAAAAAACTATTAAAATAAAAATAAAACAACGGGGGGGGGGGGCAGACGTTACACTTCTGCATTTTAAAAACAGTAATGTTAGAAATTGAATTTTGACCGTTATTTCTCGTTTTTAAAATAATAACAAAAATTAAGGATCTTGTCCAGATAGTGCCCCGCCACCGATCCAAAAAATGCCTGGGTGAAAAGTAAAAACTTTTTGACAGTACTAGCGCAACATTGACCTATTTCTGATGTCTAGACATTTGAATATTTAATCGCACGACACCATAAACACAACCTATCCGACTCTACGGTTAGGGTTTGGGTTATGGTCAAGTTTAGGCCCCGTAATGTTTATTTCTCGTACGTAATGTATAGAGAAAGTATTGCAATCGTGCAGAAAATCGAAATTAATATTTTGACAAAATCCCCACGTTTTACACCTCCCTGAATCGGAAAACTTTGTTTTGGTTTTGCAATCCTGCCTCTTAGTCTGTACGTAAACACGGTAACTTCAGTACCGCTTCAGTTACTTAGTCTTGCCAAATTGCATATATATTCTATAGGTATCATATCAATTTTTTTTGTTTATCTATCAACTTTTGAGCGATTTCAGGTAAACGGAAGTGGAACTTACTCTACACTCGGTTTCTCAAAAGCAAATTACTTTTTAAGTTAGGTGGACGAAATTTTAAATGTAAGTAGATATAGTACATTGTATGGGCAGGTTTCTGTCAGCTTATTAACGATTTTCTGTATCCGGAAGTGATTACTTTCAATTTTTTGAGTGACCTCCGATAAACGGAAGTGGTACTTTACCTCTGGTTTTTAAATTACCGATGATTTGATTACCGTCTCAGTTTGGTGGACGAAATTTTATACATAGGTGTAAGATCTAAATATACACAACGTGCTTGCGTTTATTTAGTGCGCAATTCTTTTTTTTTAATTGAGCTATCAAAAAAGTGTGAGGTTGCTTATGAAGAGCACCGTAAGTCAGGTGTCGGCAACCTTTTGAGACGGAAGAGCCAAAAGATGCAATTTTCAAAATTTACCAGTTTTTAAAGAGCCACTAACATTTTTTTTTCAACATTTAGGATTTGGTGTATATATATCCTTCGTTTTGTTTGTTGTAAAGCTATTCATGCTAATAGTTGCATTGGTTTCTAGATATTTTTTCAGATTTTTCTAAATCAAGCAATTTACCACTCTCCTTGTCTTCAACAACAAAAAAAAAAGTCTTTTTTTTTTCGAAACATCCACTTCTCAAGCAAGGCTTAGGCTGAATTTTCCTTTCCTTGCAGTTTTACATTTAGGTCGTTTATTTTCTATGTGATATCCACCATGAAGTTGAATGTTTCAATTCGGGATGAACAGTTTAATAGGAAGTACATTGAAAATAAGGAGTACCTAACTAGTCTAATAGATTAGCAAGTGTTTAATGTCTATGTTTATGATTATATAATTCATTACCGTGTGTTGCAGAATAATATTTTTATGAGTTTTGAAAATAAAATAATTAATATTTGTGCATGGAGCCGAAGAGCCGCATCTTGACATCAAAAGAGCCGCTTGCGGCTTGCGAGCCGCAGGTTGCCGACCCCTGCCCTAAGTCCTAAGTGCTGCTACTTGACTCGGCATAGGTTTTTATAGATGACAACACAGACTCGATCTAAGCAACAAAGGCGGAGTAACCATTTAAGATGTGCATCCACTTCCAAGCTTGGTTATAAAATGCAAGCATGTGTCGTCACATCTGATCACAAAATTACGAACCACCTCTCCCCCTTCCCCAGGAGTGTGACGTCTTTTATGAAAGGGCCCTTTGGAGGAAAATTTCTTCTCGAATTTTCAAAGGGGCGAATTTATTGTCGTTAACAGCCACGTTTCATTGAAATTTCTAATTCTCACCACAAACAATATGTTATTTGTTAATATTTGAATTTGAAATGCGTCTTTTAGGACTAATGACTAAACCTAAAACAACAATCTATCTATCTGAAAAAGTACTCAAGCTTTTGAAAAACCGAAAGTAGAATAAGTTCCACTTCCGGTTACCGGAAATCACTGAAAAGTTGATACAGTACTATAAATTTGATGTAATACTTTGAATCAAATTTCATAAACCTAGCTGTAACGGTACTCAAGTTATCGTGTTCACAGACATACAAACACAGACATACGTACAAAATTGCAAAACTAAGTTTTTCCGACTCAGTGAGGTGTAAAACGCCGAGGTTTGTGAAAATCTCGATTTCGATTTTATGCACGATTAAAAATACTTCCTCTATACCTCGTATACGATAAAGTAAAAAGAAATTTTCAACAAAATTGAGAGGCTGTGATCTTGAACAATAAGTAGAAATCTAAATAATCACGCATACCACTAATGCAGGTGTTTACATGAAAGGCGTTGATAACTGATAAAAAAAATTATAAATAGCAATTTAAAATAGTTTTATTTCGTTCTGTATAAAACAGAGTTAGCTTGTTTAATTAAGTCAGGCTTCGCAAATTACATGGATGAAGAGCAGAACAAAATTACAATAGCAAAATGACAGTTCGGTTATTCTATTAGAGAGACAAATTCAACAATCTTTTTATAAGTTATGTTTTCATTAACGAAAAACCCGATTCATTAAAAAAAAAATTGGACCCAATGTGCAGAAAGCATCCGGAACTGAAAGTGTACTCAGTACTGACGTGTGAATAGCAATAAGTACCAGATTGGAAACCAATTTTCAGAGTAACATTTTAAAATGGCAAAGTAAAGAAAACATTTAATAATAATTTAAAAAATGCTTTAGATGGAAATTCTACAATCATTTTATTTTTAAATATGTAAGATACTTTTGTTTTATAGAATCTAGATTTAGAATATATAATTTTAACGACGTTTGGTAAAAAAATGCTAATTTAAAAACAACCGCAGAGAAGCAAATGCATAGTTTCATAATTAAATTGATTAAATCTAAATCTACAACAATTCAATTAATAATATTACTAAAATAATAATTAAATAGTTTTAATCTCTGTATTGTTTTTGTGAAGATTTGGGTAATTTAGGATAGAAAATCAACTTTTCCATTTTTTTCAAAATATTGTTTTTAAAAAGTATTTTAAATGAAAGTATTTGAAACTTGTAACCACATGCCTAAATAATAAATCAATCAAATTATAGTAACTCTTACAGTTTGTACCTAATGTTTAGATCTATAACACTAATTTAGAAATGATATATTTCTAATGTCCTTTTTGTTTGTTTTAATAAAAAAAAAATCTCACCATTCTATTCCGTTTTATTATTTCTCATAAATTTGTGTGAAACGAATTTTTTTCTTTTTCTCTTTATTTTACTTTGAAAACATATTTATTATTTTGTTTAACTGAGAATTGTTATTAGTCAACCTTTTGAATCATGTATGATTGGTGATTCAAATGTAATACATTATCTAGATCTAGTCTAGATCTAGCATTCTAGTATTTTAAAAAGTGAAGTTTTTTAAATTTTAATGTGTCGATGTTTCTGGCAAAGATTTTAACTTTACCTGGCACTCGTGCATGGAGGCATCTTAGCATTCGGTAAGTGTGGGGTAGGCCTAAGTACTAAGTAAACTTATTAACGTTTTCTAGATCTAGATCTAGATCTCTACTCTAGACTATATTCTAGATAAGATGTATTTTTTTTAAAGTAAGACTAAGACCTAATGCATTCCGTAGCTTATATAACTACAGGCATTTGTCTGTAGCTTTTAAGGAAATAAAAAAGCACGGTTCTAGACTATTTATTTAAAATTGAATTCTAGACTAGGGCGATTCTAAAAAAAAAATTGTTAAAAGTTAAAAATACCACAACACAAAGTTCAAAGCCGTCATTCGAGATGCCTAAAAACGAATTTACCAGGCACTAGATTTAGGCCTATAGATTAGATTTTTGTGTGTAGTAGATCTAGATCTTATTATTATTTTATTTGGTAATCTATCGTTTTAGGTAGGCCTACAATTATACAATACGTAAAATCGCCCGTGATGTGAAAAAAAGGTGGCTAGAATCTACTTAATTTCACATTTTGAGGAGGATTTATGTTTTGAAAAATACAAAAATGTTTACTTGTTTCATTTAGGCCTCTGCACCTGTTTTCAAGCAATTGAATTAAAAGTTTTCAGTAGGCCTAATAAAAAATGAAGACTAGCGAAATTTCCAACAGATGCAACCGTGCTCATTTACTTTTAGGAGCCATCTTGTTTGAGGTTTTTTTTTGTAAGTTTATAGCTCGAGATTCAGGGGAAGCCACTTTAACCTACAGATAGCCGCTTTTTATATAGCAAATCCTGCTCGCAAACACTGCAGTTTAAAGTTAATTTCTTGCCTCTATTGTAGCCATTGATTTAGGTTTATTATTCATTTATATACCTATAATATTTGACACAAATAGTCCTATTTTACAATATATATACTATACTTCTATTAAAAATTAAAGCCTTGACATTGAGGTAACTTTTTCATAAATTACTAGCCGCGAGCGATTTTACATACCTAAAACGATAGATTACCTTTTATTTTATTCTTTGGATTCTTTAGGCTAGAATAATTTTTTGTAGGTCTAATTTAAGTTTATTTTAAGCCTAGGCATAAAATTGTGGCATATTGTTGATATTAATAACCAGTTAAATTTAGAATAATGATATTCTTGAAAAAAGTCACTTTACAGAATTAGGGGGGTTGCATCACCTCAAGGCACACATTTTGTCAACACTTTCATATTTTTACAAAGGGCCTATATGTTAAGTTAAATTGCTTCATAACATATTAATCTTGAAACTCTGAGAATTTGAATACAAATTTCATTGGTCCATGTAATAAAGATTTGGCATCTATAATATAACGCTGCTGGTAGTGTGTCAGTCCTTCCTTCCGTCATCGCTATAGATTTTGGAACCATAAAAGTAAACATTCGCACCATGCTGTGCTTTTCAGTGCACCGCAGTGTCTTATTATAAGTATTAGAGTAGGGTTTGTTTATATAGTGGCATAGAGCTATTTTATAATTTCCACTGTTTGTACAATTTTGCATAACGTAAAGAAAATATTAAATACACGCACATTGCTAAAACATATTAAAAGGATCAATGTCAAATATAGTTTTCGTTAATATTCCTAGAAAAAGTGGATACATTTTAATAACATAATAACAGTACGGTAGAAAAATCAAATTAATTTAACTCTTTTTTTCTACTTTTGACAAAGGAGGTAATTTAAAAATACATGCTAATAAAAAATGTGAATGCAAATATACGTTCGTCATAGAAGGAATTAGTGTTGCAATAATATAATTAGCAAAATGTGAATGCAAATTATTCGGATGTGTAAGAGGAAATTATAGTTAGAAAATTATAATTAGCATGGATTGATAAAAGGCAATCTTTTATTTATTTTATTCACTGAATGTAGGCCCTACCGTTTATTACTTATAATTTTTAATCAACTATTAAGCAGTGTCAGCACTATTATAGACGCGTCATCACGTTCATTAGGTGCGCAATGGTTTTAGTTATGAAACTCTATTGTAAATTTTTAAAATTTAAAGTACTGGAAAAAAATGCGTGAATGGATAAAGTGAAATATTGTAGGTAAAACACGGATATTTTAAATACTGCCTATTATTTATGCTGATTTCTAATTATTATTCTATCTTCGGGTTTTATAGGAGAGGCGTAGCGAGGGGGGCATATGTCCCCGGGTGCCGACCTTAGGGGGCGCCAAAGTGGGTTGGAAAAAATTTGCGAGGGGGGGGGGGGGTGGTGGAAATCGAAAGTTTTAGGGCGGGGGGGGGGGGGGGGGAAGGGGTGCAAATCGAAAGTTTGAGGGGGGTGCAAATCACCGGAAAGGGCGCAATTTGGCGCTACGGGCTAGACTGTGAGCAATATGCCTGTATGATATGATTGCATTTAAATTGTGTTTATGTTATGAGTGTTGTGTTTGTTTTTTCGTTTTTTTTTTTTTTGTTTTTTTTTTTGCGTTCGTTTGTGTTGTGTTTAGTTTTGTTCTGTTCCCAAGTTGGTACATTTAAAAAAGATTTACCGTGGCGGAGCACGGGATGCAGCTAGTTGGTTTATATGAAGAACACACAAAATTTGCCCGCGAAATTTACCACCAAATCCTATAGTAACTTTTAATTCAGTAAAAAAATCATAACTTTAAAACTGAATGTCCTATTTTGAAAAAGTAAACTGTTTTGTCTTAATCTGATGTAGTTCTTTAGGAGGAAAAGGTTTTTAACCTAGAGAGTCTAGATAAATCATTTTGAAATTTTTGTCAAAGTCCCTATCTATTATTATTTTATTTAGGCCTATTGAGAATTGAGATGCCTCTGATAACTTATTCAGATTCATTGACAGGAATAATTACCAGATCTAGATCTAAGTAATTAGTTAGGGCATTTAACTTTTAATAAATATAGTAGGCCCAATAGTGTTTTGTGTAGGCTACATTTTTTTATATTCATGTTGGTCTTTTAAAAAACTTTATTTTCAGATTGGTGCACTATAATTTATTAATATATTAGTATTAAAGGCATCAAACATTGCACATTTTATTGTTTCTAGTAGGTCTTGTAGAAGTTAATGTTGTAAGAAAATTGACACGAGAAATAATCTAGAAATGAGATAAACCGTAAAAGCATATCGACTTTAGTATAGTAACAAGATTTTAAACTCACTAAGACAGAATAAGAAAAGAATAGCCTAATACATTTTCTATAATTTATAAAGTAAAATCACAATTGACCCCTAGAAATATTTGTAATATTAAGGCTACATTAAGCCCCAATATGTTGCCCACTTTCATTTTTATTATTAAGCCTAGGCCTAATATTCATTTTTAGAATTATTAGTGCATTAAACCGTATAAGGTTTTTATAAATGGTAAACATCTGTCAATTGAGACTATTTTTTTTATTTTGATTCAAAAAGATTTTTTTTAAAGTTGGGAACTTGTTTACGGTGAGTGGTAAATCAGTAGGCCTACTCACTTATTTTATATTATAAAATTTCTTGCTTTAGGCTTACTATTAAAAATCATACATTTCCAAAAAAAAATCCCTGTTTATGCTAAATAATTAGCATTGCACTGTACACATGTTATTGAGTTAGTAAGCCTATTTTAGAAGATTTTAAGAATATTTTTGTTTCGGCTACATAAAAAAATTTTAAAACTTCACATAAAAATAAAAGTTAAAAGAATGTATGGTGGAGAAATATGTTTATTGGAATATATAGGCCTAATTTTATTATTTTTAATTATTTATTTCTTTAGCTAGCAAAAACTCTGTCTCAAAAGTCTATTCCAAATACTTTCTCACTATATTAAATTAAGCTTCTAGAGTGATCAGCTTAAGAATACTCAAAATAAATATCTCCACGTTTCTAATAAATGGTACTGATCACAGAATTTAATTTTAGAATGCTCTTTATATGTATATTCTTGTTTTACATTTCAGATCAGTAAAGTTTTTGAAATTTAATTAACTGTACAAGACAATTGTTAAATTGAACATAGTATAACTAATATGGCATCTCCTAATAAGCTAAGAAAAATGTCGGGTGAGCAGAACTCTAAAGGAAGTCAAGGGGAAGCTAATTTCTCCTACAGTTCTCCTACTAAAGGACTTTGTTATACCACAAGTGATGATGAAAGCATTTCAGAAGATTCCAGTTCATGTGATGACTTCCCAGCAGAGTACAAATGCAAGCTTTGCAATTTAGTTCTTCACCGCATTTCTCAGCTTAAGAAACACATGCGAACCCAACATGTAAGAGAAATGCATAGCTCTGAACAAATGCCTTCTCATTTGAAGGCTTTAAGATGTAAGGCATGCTTTAGAAAGTTCCAGAATCCAATTGCACTGCAGGCCCACTTACTCAAAAAACGCTTCTGCTTTTGGTCACTGACTCAGACTTTTTGGAGCAGAAAGAGTGATGAAACCCAGGCTTGTAAAATATGTGGCAAAAATTTGTTTACAACCCGAGCCTTGAGAAGGCATTGCTATAAAGACCTAACTTGCAAGTTGCATTATATTCAGCAGGCAATGGGAAGTACTGTCAGTTTTGAAAAAGTAAACGATCAAAGCCATACAAAGATTAAGAGATCCAACTCTACATTTATTGAAATGCAGGAAAATAATGAAGATAGCGTATGTATGGATGGTTTAGCTTCAAGTACCCCCATAATAACAGGTAAAGCCCCTGGTAGTTCTACACAATCTCAAGGAAGCATGGTTTTACTTGCTAGCAAAGAGGTCTCCAGTATAACCTCTAACTCTGTTGAGAATATTTCACATAACATATCTTCAGATGAGTTGACAGTGAACTCTTCAAGATTGAATGAATGTGGATATTGTAAGCAATCATTTGATAACAAAAGTGCTTTGAAACGCCATATTCTGACCCATACAGTCTGCTTGCATTTTTACGAAGACCCTAAGAGTGAATGTCCAGTGGTGCTGAATTTCTGCTTCAAGTGTAAGTTTCGGGCACAAAATTCTTTGCAGTTCAAGCATCATCATTGTAAAGGCAATGTGCCCTACACTGAAGTATGTGAGCATTGTGATGCAAAGTTCACTTCATGGAAAAGTTTAAAATTGCACCAGAACACTTCAAATGTATGCTCTGCCAAAAAGTCAGAAAAGCAGCAGAGTTTAAATAGAACCACGCCTGTACCTAAAAGAAAACTGGATTCTGACAAGAAATTTACCTGCTTGCTCTGTTCTCAGATATTTTTAAATTTCAATTTGTTTCTTGAACACAGCAAATCCCATGAAGAAGAAGGCAAGTACATATGCTTTCTATGTGATCAGCTGTTCAATCACTACAGCTCTCTTGTTTTGCATCATGTATCTCACACAGAGCAACAAGAGCCTGCTACTAATTCCTCCCAGCATGAGCAAGATACAAATAACAGCCTAGAAGGCCTTGGTTCGAGACGTAAAAGGATTGCTAAAAAGTTTGCCGAGCCTGATAATTCATATAAGAAATATTACAAATGCAAGACATGTGGACAAAAATTTGATTCTCTTGTTAAAAGAAGAAAGCACCTTTCAGCCAGTGTTCGCTGCAAAATGATTAAGCCTAAAGGCATTGAAGATGAACACCAAGATGACTCCGATCCAAGCACAGCTTTGTTAGCTCCTGGTTCTGCACCTTTGACCAATGGTAAAGATCTACACTCAACTAATGATGCAGGTAAATGTCAAGAAGTTTTCTGCTTTCGCTGCAAAAATGTTTTAAGTTCAAGCAATGCTTTGAAGTATCACAAGTGTAAAAACTCTAGGTTGTTAAATTTAGAACTGTACTCTAAAGCATCATGGACTGATTACGAATGTAAAATATGTGACAAGACATACCAAGGTCACAACCAGCTGGTTGTACATATGGTAAAGCACGGCGAGGATATGGGACTGTATCAGCCATCTATCAAAAGCATACCTACTGTATTAAGCAGTTCTTGTATATTGTGTGATAAAAAATTATCTCGCAGACACGCTGAACAACATTTTCAAGAGCATCTAGATGTTATTACTGAAGAGATCTTAGATGGCGCTAGCAGTTTAAACTGTGGAATTTGTGGCCAAAAATACTCAACTGGTCAAATTTTAAAAGATCACATTATGCAACACAAACCATCAGATATAATCTCTAAAAATGGTAAAGTGGATAAACGCAATGTCCTTTCAAAGTTTCCTTGTCCTTGTTGTCGGCTGACATTTTTATCATACCCATCTCTTAAAGCTCATGCAAAGCTTAAACATAGAACTGTTTATAAAACTAAACCGTACATTTTTTCATATAACCCAAAGCAGTTAGAAGTTGCCCTGGACGCCGCCAAGGTCCAAGATGGTCATGGTGCTCAAACTAGTCCTAAAAGAGGTAGACCTCGTGGAATTAGAAAGCAATTGATACCTAAAAGAAAGGAAAAAAATGGCATGATTAAACTATCTAAGCATGGTTTGGTTGAAACTGTAGACACGTACTACCCACAAGCTGAACACACTGATGAATTAGACAATGAAACTGACTTGAGTCTGTTGCTACCCTGGAGGGAGGTGAAGGTGTCTTGCCACTTATGCCCCGCTACGATTGCTGCATCCTCTCACGAAAGCCACCTTAAAACACAGCACAACTTTCCAGTCTCAAAACTGTTTGGGTGCAAGTATTGCCGACTGAAATTCCCATGGCAGAACGAGTGTAACAAACACACTGACAGATGTCAGGCACTCTGTGAATGCAAGATATGCATGAAGCAATTGAACTCACTCACTGGAATTAAGAGGCATATTATTATTGCACATTCCATGAGCATTAAGGATTATGAAAATAACTTCTTGTCTGCTTTTATAGATGCTGGCATGAGTAAGAAAGAACACCTGAGTATGGATGAGAACGATTTCCAAAAGCACTGCCCTGTGTGCCAAGAGGTATTTTCTAGAAACTCTTTGTACTTAGCTCATTTGGAGAGCCACATGTCATCAGCAAATTTGTTGAGTCCCCACAGCAGAAGTCTCATTCAGCATTACAACGACAACATAAATTACAGGCTTGATGGGACGTCTTTAAACGCATCTCTTGATGGCGGAGCATCCTTCAATCCTGTCATTAAAAAAATAAGCTCGTGCGATGAGTGTGATGAACTCTCATATTCTGATATCAACATGGAAGATAATTTGGCTGTTACTTTCAAAGAAAGTGACAAAAAATAATTGACGCTAGAGTTCATTTTAAGTGTGCTATTGTTTTTTATGTGTACAAATGTTGAACCAAGTTATTGTCAGTTGTAACTGCGATTTAATTTCTCCTGAAAAATGAATCTTAATTAGTTAATTTTTATCTGTTTACTAAAGCAGTCACCAAAATTTTATTCAAATTATGTTTGGCTGCATCTGCAAAATTTACTGCACTTTTTTCATTAAAGCTAGACAAAGTGTTAGTATTGTACAACCCAAAATAAAATCCCAATCTCAGATTATCTGTGATGCTTATCATTTTATGCAAACTGTATATTTTTGGGTGAAAGTATGATTGATTTCTGAAAATTTCATCTAGGGGTCATCCATCAATGTCACGCTTTTTAAAATTATTTTTTACCTCCCCCATTCCACATTTTCACACACATACACTTCAAATAACTTCACACTTCAGTCTATGATTTCTCTCCCTCCCTCCCCCCCCCCCCCCCCCCCCAATTGCAGTTTTTTAAAACAAGCACAATTTCTTTTTATATTCACTGAGCTTTGTCTACTACATTGATTAATTTTTAATTTGTATTACTATTTTTAAAATATTGACTGAACTTCAGTTTTCCAATTTTACTTTACAAAAGTTTCATCACAATCACTAAACCTCCCCTCCTCATTGTCTGACCCCCACCTCCCCTAGGCTAACATTTATGGATGATCATCTGGGGGGAATATTGATTTTAAAATTATTTTAGAAGCTAGTATGTAAATATTACACAAGAAAATGTTTTTTATAAAAAAATAACCTGCTTATTCTGTTTTATTAGTATTATGTTAATACATCAGCCATAAACAATCTCAAATTGTATGGTGAATTCAAATTTTATTTTCTTTGTAAAAGATTTTAAAGTGATAGTTCATGCTTTCCAAATTATTAAGTCTGTGTTTTTATGCTTGTTCAGTATGGTAAACATTTTCATTTAATTAATTGCTGTTGTCTAAAATTCTACAAATAGCTGCACTGTCATTTTGTATGGTCATTAACAATCATCAGCAGTGAGGCATTGGAGATGATCAATCATCAGAAGTGTGGCATTGTAGATTATTATTAAATCTAATGTAAAATAATAATGAAATACAATAATCTAGTGACTGTAAATTGATGTAATATAATCTCATTAGCTCAGTTAAAAAAAAATGTATGTGGACTTACATTTTATGAATTTAAAAATTGTAATTTTCCACTTGTAAACAAGTTTTAATATTTTTTTAATCTCTCTGTGCTTTTTATACTTTTGTAAAAACACACATTAGCATTACTGTTACATATTCTTTCTTAGATTTTGTTTTCAAAACTGCATTATTTTTTAAAATTGTTACTGTTATAATAATCAAAATATATGTATAACTAACACTTTCGGGGAACCTGATTTGTTTTTTCTTTTAATCCTGTCATGGTGTATTAACAAATGATTTGAGACTGATACAATTTTGTGTAAGTGCATTTATTGGCATTTGTTCTGATACAGTTTTCTAGAATTATTGACCATATTCAGATAAATATATATTTTATTGAAATGTTCATACTTTTACGCATTTATTATGTCTCAACATTGATATAGTCTTTTTTATGACTGTCTACTAAAGGTTCTATTAACATTGTAGAATTTGCATTTTCTGTATTTTCTTCATTTGACCCAAACTTCTTGTAACCTTAATATAATGTTAATGTCATACTTTAATGTGTTAATAATGACCAGTATTAAATTAAAACTTTAATTCACAATTGTACAGCCAAAAATTTATAATTATGGAAGTTTTTATGCTTAACTTAATTTGCTACGAATTTTTCAATGTATAAAACTTATTGCAATAAGCTTAATATTGATAGAATTACAACTTGAAAGATACATCTTGTTATCATCAAAATTATACAGTGTACTTTGTATATGTACAACATATCTTGTAACTGGCTTTTTTTTTTTAAACCTTAAGGCAGATGTTTTACTCTGTTCATATAAGGTATCTATGTAGACTAGTTTATATATATTCTAGTATGGACTTCAGGGTTGTGCTGACCAAGGTATTATTGTGTTGAGTGTACATACAGTTTTCTCTATTTGAAAATACAGGTAGCCCTCAATTCCTGAAAATACTTTAAATTACACAATAAATATACTTAAAATAGTCAACTTATAAGTAAATTTATATAATATGAATTAAGTTAATAAGTGGGTTTATGTAATTAGCAAAATATTGAACAAACTATGAATACCATTGATCAAAACAAAATGTATTTTATTTTGATATTTAAAAATTTTTTGAAACAGCATGGTAATTTTTTTATTTATAAATAAAATTTCCTCCCATAATACTTAATAGTTACATATACAACTAATTCTGGATTTACCAAGTGTTGCTACTTCCCATACCTTGAGAAATATTTTTATTCTTGAGGTGAATTCAATCTTCTATTCAAGGACATAGCTCTGTATGCACCAGCTCTTAATTCTATTTTCTAAGCTTATTTCATTTGAAATTGTTTACATTTATCTCTAGATATTGTTTCTAAACATTTCCAAAAAAAAAGCTCCAATAAATTATACAAACAAAATGGATTCAGTAAGCTAGTATAACAGGATTTAAAAGTAGATTGTATTAACCTTTTTAATGTTTTTCTGTAAGAGTAACATTCAGCTAGGTGGTTATGGTGTATATTTATGTTGTGTATCCCTCACACTAAGTTACCTGTGTAAATCTGCATTAGCTTGGGCTACCTGTATGGCATTTAAGCACATGAAAAATCTTCCATCAGTTGTTTGAAATGGACATTTGTTTTGAGGCATTAGGATGCTGTTGGCTGCTTGTGTTCAGTACTTAGGTTGCATGTGTTTGTGTTGTATTCACAAGACATAGCATCATATTTATTATTAGCATTTATATTTTAAAATATATTTTCTGATTTTTACCATTACATTCTTGCCAGAAGTCTGATCTTTTAGTGTAGCAACTGATGTGAATCTTAGTTTTTATTATTCAGTATCTTTTATTATATCATGTAAAATCAAATAATTAATGCTCATCAAAATTAGACCTGATTAATATACAGTACATGATAATAGTGCTATTTCTATTCAAGTTCAAGCTTTATAACTGCATGTATTTGAAAACCTTTATTATTTACAAGTATTTTGTGTGGATTACTTGGTGGTGCTGGGAGTATTAATGACTGCAGAAATTGTGACCGCCAATAGTCATTTGATGTTTCCTAGCTCATCTTTTGTTCTGTAATAAAACCTTTTTTTACAAGGGTTGCTTGTCATTTTTCAGTTCCTAACAAAAGGACCAGTGCAGAGTGTGCTATTGACTCATCAATTTGGTTGCAATCTTGAGTCTTTGGTGGCCTTTGTTCAAACACAACCAGTCCTGGTGTGTATGGGACTTGATCAGCTTGTGTAGTCCTACTGGCCAGTTCACATGAGCTCTAGGTTGCCAGATCACTTTATTGGTGCTTGGATGGCTGGTCATATAGATCTGCATGAACCAACAATTGAGTGTGAAGTTTTATTTTTCCTAGTCATTGAAAACAAAACTGTTTTGATTGTTATCAGCGGTATTGATTTTCAAGATTTTGTTTGATTTCCTGTTCTTATTGTATCAAAAGTAATTGAGGATCTTCTGATCATTAACTCTATTGGATTTTTTCTGTAATAAAATTTGATTAAAAATTCAACCTTTTGTTATAAAATGTGTGATAATTTTAGTGCCTTTCTTTAACAGGAAATGTTTTACCTACTGATACTGATACCTATTTTAGCCGAAGGCAGCAAAAAATTGAGCAATAGTAGTAGCTTAACATTTAAGATTGGAGTTTGTAGCTATTACTACTAGATCTAGTATTACGGTTATTAGTTTAATTGTAAGTCCACGCCCAACTCTTTAAAAACACGCAATGCACCACTTACACAAGTTATATATATATATATATTTTATTTTAAAAACAACTAAATTTTTATATGAAAAATGCTTCGTTCCATCATGCTACAATTCACAAGGCATCAACTATGTTTTTAACTTTGATTAACTCAGAAATTCACTATTTACTTCAACGAAAATAGGCCTATTGGTAAAACAAAAACTCACTACTTCATTCCAGTCAGTTGATCCCTGAAGATGGGACAAGTTATTTTGAAACAGCAACATGCGGAAGTATGCAACAAGTAACTCGGAGCATGGTTAATCAGTAATCGAGTAGTAAGTAATATATGGATTTAAATTGGCACGATTTTTGTAATTCAATGAATTGTTTGGGCTGAAAATTTGTGGTTTGCCTTGAAGATGCAACATCGGCTTCGATAATTTACAAGTCGTACGTGGAAATCTGCACTTTGCATTAATTGTAACTTAAGAGCTGAGCAATGATGCTAAACATACATAGACGTCATGAAGAGCAAACACTCAGAAATGTTTGGTTAGCGTTCACATACTCTTTAGCTGGGTCATTTTTTTTATAAAAATAGGACCTAATATTTTAATAATCTCTATATATAATTCTCTATGTGGGGGCCATGCGGTACACCAACACCACCACGTACGCGCTGTGCTGCCCCCTCCCTCGCTCTCTGAGTGTATCGCTCCACCCCCACCAGCCACTTCCAGACTTTTTTCTCCGGGGGACGGACGGACACTGACTGTTAAAAGTATATATTTTCTATATAAATTTCATCCACCCCCCCCCCCCCCCAAAGAGATGCCTGGAAGAAACTGCCACCAGCCTGGTGAGCTGTGGTTCACGCCAAATGTTTACAGTGGTAGAGCCGGGTCAAATTAGTGCCGGCTATTATTGGCAGATAATTTAATTTTTAAACGATTTGAAACTAAGAAGAGGGGAGGATAATAGTCTTTCACTAGCTACTGAAAGTGTTTTAAAGCAAAATATTTTCAGTCGCAGCATCGGTAGTGTCGAATTCACAAATTATGAATCACTGAAAAGGGGTCATCCATAAATGACGTCACACTCGTAGGGGGGAGGGGGGTCCGTAATTTTGTGACGATGTGTGATGAGGGGGAGGGGGGGGGGGTCAGATGTTGCGACGTCACATTTTTGCATTATAAAAAAGCAATGTTAGAAAACGAATTTTAGACGTTATTTCGCGTTTTAGATAACTGTTTTAATAAATTGTAATAGTTTAGACAAGATTTTGGAAAAATATCGATGTTCAACTGCAATTTTGAGGGGGGGTTGTAGGTTGAGGCGTGACGTCATTTTAGGGGGGGGGGGGTCTGGCTTTTTGTGACGACGTGTGACGGAGGGGAGGGGGGGAGGTAAAAATCGTCAAAAAAAGCGTGACGTCATTTATGAATGACCCCAAAGTAGAAAATAAAACAATTAAATGGCGGCGCATGCTACGCCGCGTGTCGGATCGTAGAGTATTATTTCTCCTAAGTGACTGACGAAATGACAATTAGTGATTATCCATATAACTAAGGCAACAACTACACTTGGTGTCAAATCGGCTATGTCACCTAAAAGAAGTACGCTTTTGATCAAGGAAGTCCAAGTATGTACACAAGAAGACCAATGTCACCCTCCTACGCTGCAGGTATTACGGTAATTACCAGTGTCCGCTCGTGTTTTACCAGTGGAAAATTTAGTCCGCCCCCCCCCCTGAGAATAAAAGTCTGAAAGAAACACTCGCATGCATTAGTGCCGTGAAGCGTTAGGTTTACAACAATCAATAAACCGGGAGTGATCTCCCTTAAACTTTCTCGAATATTCTTATATAAAACAACAGGGGATGGGAACTTAGGATATAGACATGATTTTTAATCCATTTTAAATACTTAAACTTTTAAAAATAGAATAAAATCTCGTGGAAAAAGAATTGCACACCAAGTGAACGCCAAATAAAGATGTGCATAATAGTGCGCAATATTATTAGTACTTTATAAATTTACATGCGTTTTTTTTTTGAGAAATTGGAAATAGCGTAAATTACTACTCCCGGTCAACGGAAATTACTCAAAATTTGATAGAGGGTAGAGAATTAGATCTTTTGCTTACATGTGAAATTTTATTTATCTATCTAAAATAGTACTCAAGTTATAGGCTTTTGAAAAATTCAAAGTAAAAAAGTACCACTTCCGGTTATCTGAAATCGCTCAAAAGTTGATACGGATCTACGATTTTGATAAAATACTTATATATGAAATTTCATCAACCTAGTTGTAACGGTACTCAAGTTATCGTGTTTACAGACACACAGACAGACACACACACAGACATACGGACAAGATTGCAAAACTATGTTTTTCCGTATCAGTGAGGTGTAAAACGTCGAGATTTCCAAAAAACTCGCTTTTTTTTTGCACGATTACAAGACTTTCTCTATACTTCGTAGATTTTCTATATACGAGAAAGTAAAAAGGAGACGAGAAATGTGTTTAAGAAGGCCTAATATAAGAAGGGATTGTCCATAAGTGATGTCATTATATTATGTTATTTAGTAATATTTCACTGTTTAACTTATTTTGTAAATAATGTGCCACCTCACATTATCATCTGAGCCATACACATATAGTCATATACGCTTCAAGTTCGAAACAAAGCACTTGACGTGAAATAGGCATATTATTATAGTATAATATTAAATATTAATTATAAAATTATAATAGGTTTGCTATTTAAAATTTGACTAATCATTTGATCGTGTTTCCACCCAATCATTTGAAATATATTAATTAATATAAAAACTTTGTAAAAATGCTTAATTTATTTAACAAGTGTGTTGGGACTTTATTAAATAAGGGCGCACGATTTTTGTGCTGGTTTTATAAATAATGGATTGACATAGGCCTATATAAGTATAATAGACCTACATTTATTTTTTTAAATTCCCATTCTTCCCTCCCCCCCCCCCCCCCCCCGTGTGTGTCCATTCCTATGTAGTATGTACAATCCGTTTCTAAGCACCAGCTTCCGGTTATCTGTTTAGTTTATGTTATTCAACAGCTTTCGTAAACTTTTTATACTGAAGGTGTGTTTTCTTGCTTCCGTCATTGCGACATTCCAACTATTCGCTAATTCTAACATAATAACAACATAGATCTAATTAACAACGTCTTCAGCAATTTAAAATTCCTTGAGTATTTTAAAATTAGATCTACATTAGTACATACCCTTGAATATCTTTTAATTGTTATTAGATCTATTATCCAAAGTAAACCAACATTTTATGTTAAACGGAGTAGGCACACAAACACAACCACAGAGTCCCAAACCACTCCACGGAGTCAGAGTCTCATTGACACACTGAGTACCGAGTCACAGTGATTTGAGTGATTTAGACTTAATGATCGTGTTCTGAGCTTTTTCTCTCAAACACTGTGTGTGTACTTAAGTGTACCAACAACTAGTGTTACTGAAACTGTTGTAATTCACTAGTTTTCTAGCTGCTAGAATTACACTAGTGCATTACACTAGCAGTGTACACTATTTACTTAGTAATTTCGTATTATTTAATAATATAGATCTAAAGGCTAGACCCCCAAGTCACTAGAATGACTAGATTTATTACTAGGTTTTTCTAAATCAAAATCTAATATTTTAGACTTTATTACTTTAGAGTTTAGACTGTTAAGATAAGACTATTCTTAGGCAGCGTCTTAGGCAGATCAGGTCAATGAGTAGGGCCTTTGCCTTTTATTATTAATTTATTATTATTATGTATTTTATTGAATCATTATTAATGTTTGTAGACTAGTGTAGAAATAAAAACAAACTAGTAATTTTAGTTTAACAGAGTTTAATTGTTTACACTTTAATTCCTCCACAGTTGAGTATGTGTCATTATTATTTTTTAAATTTAATATGCCTGATAACTTTTTCGAAACATTTAAGCCACAGGACACTACACTATGACATCCAATTCAATAATTTAAAGTTAGAGTATAAGTTCCCAAACTATGGGTCGCCAATTGGGAACCTGTGATTTAGAGTAGTAATGGTGGATACTACACTATATGTTATATCAGTAAAACTGGCATAAACAATTTTTCTTTGTATAGTTGTAGAGCAAACATTGTGGAATCTTTTCTTAAATGACATTTAAGAAAGTGATGTTAAATTTAATAAAAAATACTGACAAAATTATATGGCAAATTATATTGTTTATTTTTATGACTACTGCTAATTAATTCATTATGAGTAGTAATTGCAATTTCTAAAAATAAACCTGCCAGTTAATTAATCATACTTAAAATATAATAATAGTTGCATCATCCTAAAAGTTGAATCCAGTTTAAAAATGACTATAGTTACTGATTTTTGAAAACACTCAGTTTTATTTTCTATTCATCTATTTCACAGATGTCTAAAGAAAGGGAGCAATGGAAGAGCCAACACTTGTGTTGTCACTCTATTCAGATTTCTCAAAAACTTTAAGTAAAACTTTGTCATTCCTGTTCAGCCTTGCCTGGTATTCCCGGATCCGATTACCTGCTTACCTAACCTTTATTTTTCTAGCTGCTGATATTCGATTCAGTATTGAAGTTATTATAGATCCACAGGCTCATGACATTGATGATGTTGAATAAAAACATCAGCCAATAGTTTATTCCCTAGGTTTGTCAAGAATGTGATCTTTTAAATTAAAAGGTTACACTAGAAACTTATTGAATAGCAAAGAATGAGCCGTGGAGTTCGGGATCTACGAGATTTAATTTGTGTCTCAAGACTGACTTTTCATGAAGACGAGGAGGATGAAATATTCTCAGATGAGGACCGAATCATAAGCAGACTTTCACTGGAGAGCTCTAAGTCTGTAGTTACCAGCAGTTCAAGAAATACTCCAGTTGTTTCCCCTGACTCAGGCTGTATTACAGAAACCTCAGATATCAATTCTGTTCTGCCTGTTCAGACCCAGTTGGATGACAGTGATGTGGTCAGTAATGATGAAGTTCATTTCAAATCTTCAAAAACTGGTAATGCAAAGTTAACAAACAATCATAAGAAAAGGAGAAAAAAAGTTGAAGTTTCACTGCAACCAGCAAGGCATGAGTTACCCAAACCATCCCCTTTGCCTCCAGTTAAAAAATCTTCAGAGTCAAAAATAAATTCTCATCCACCAGAGAATTTAAAGAAACAGACAACTAAAGTAAAAAGTCGTGTGAACTATGATGATATTCTTATTTTTATGGATGCTACAATGGTAGCAAACTGGCTCAAAAGATCGAATGAAGCCATTCAAGAGCTAGCCAAATTTATTAACTCTAAAGAAAATTTTGTGCAATTTTCTCATTTTTGGCTGTCGGACTTCCCAGATTTTCAAAAGAAAGAAATATTTTCTATGGAGTTTGACATTTTATTGGATGAAATAGGACTAGCTTTTGCTGTAGGCAGGGACTCAAACAAAGTAGTTCGAAGAGATATGTTAGACCTATGTGGGTCCGTGTTTAAAGAATATCCTGTTAAACTGTTAGGCTCCTCTGGGCCTTATTTGTTTCTTGACTACTTAGATACACTAACATCAGAAAAAGATGATCAGTACAAAAAACTTCTTTCTGATGTTCGTTGTTCTACAAGCAACCGCCAGTATGCTCAATGGCTGTTAGCTACTCGATCTTTCGCACTCGTAAATGTTTGGTCATCCGTGGTCAATTTTTACAGAAATTTGACAGGTGTTGCTATACAGAGTAAGCCTCTAGATGTGTCCAAATTTAAGGAGACCTCACACAAAAGGATGATGCAGTCAATTCAGTAAGAAAAAAATAATATAATTGATTAACCTATCAAAAATCATTTTGTAGTCATGTATTATTTTTTTGTTGTTGTTAAAGATTTTTTATTAGATCTAGAACAGGTGAAGTAGAGTTCATGAGGAGAGAGCCATAGTATTGACTAAATGATTTTAGCATTTTCTAATTATTTATTGATACATGCACACTTTTGTGGTGAAGTTATTTTAAAAAGTAACAAAAGTATTAAAATTGTATTTTTCAAGTAACTAACTGATGTGCTTATTATAAAGATATTAAATAGTAAATTCAAAACTTTTACAGTTACATTTTTGATAGAGAAAAGTAAAACTGTCATTACACAAGGACTCTAGTTCTGATTTTTAATAGTTTTCACCATTGCAACCAGCATTTAAATGAATTTTGACTGACTTAAAATTCACAATCAGCTTTAAGTTCTAAGCACCTGAAACCATTGTAGAGGATCACATGTATGAAATGACTGATGTTTTAAACAGAAAACTTCTATTTCAGCAATCACATTATTTGTACATTTCTTTTTTTTCTAGACTAGGTTACATAGATGTCATCAGCTATTTGTGCATTTGTTTTTTCTAGACTAGGTTACATTGATGTCATCAGCTATTTGTACATTTGTTTTTTTTCTAGACTAGGTTACATTGATGTCATCAGCTATTTGAACAATTGTTTTTTTCAAGACTAGGTTACATTGATGTCATCAGCTATTTGTGCATTTGTTTTTTCTAGACTAGGTTACATTGATGTCATCAGCTATTTGTACATTTGTTTTTTTTCTAGACTAGGTTACATTGATGTCATCAGCTATTTGTACATTTTTTTTCTAGACTAGGTTACATTGATGTCATCAGCTATTTGTACATTTGTTTTTTTTTCTAGACTAGGTTACATTGATGTCATCAGCTATTTGAACAATTGTTTTTTTCAAGACTAGGTTACATTGATGTCATCAGCTATTTGTACATTTATTTTCTAGACTAGGTTACATTGATGTCATCAGCTATTTGTACATTTATTTTCTAGACTAGGTTACATTGATGTCATCAGCTATTTGTACATTTTTTTTTTCCAGACTAGGTTACATTGATGTCAACAGCTGTTTGTACATTTGTTTTTTTTCTAGACTAGGTTACATTGATGTCATCAGCTATTTGATCAAGAGTGGCCACGTGAGCATGTCTTACACAGATTCTCAAAGAAAGTCTCTGCTCTTCATTGCAGTTATGCAAAATCAGCCTGATGTAGTAAAATATTTTTTAAGCAAAGTAAGAGTAAATATCTTTCTGCTGTCATGTGGTATTGTCTTATAAGTGTAAAACAATTGTTTTTAAATTTAAATAAATGGTATTTATGTTTCAATAACTTGAACTTTTGTTTGTTTTATTATTTAATTAAAAATAAAACAAATATATACAATTTTTATAATAATTAACTTCTAAATGCACTAAAACAAAAAATAAACATAATTTATAAGGAAAGTAAAAGCATTTGTTTTTGAATTAAAATGTTTTGGAGTCACCATCGATTATATTTTTATTCTGTTACAGATTAAGAACATATATCATTTGTTTTCTTATTTTTAGTTTTATTTAAAAGCTTGTTATCATAAAGGCTTAGTATTTATATATTTTAAATTTATAAGAGCAAATTCATATATAGGCCTGCATTTAAAAAGAATTAGTGGAATATTTTTCATCTACATTCTGTTCTTAAATTTAAACTAACCTTTTTTAAAAAATCAAATATCTAGGAGGATTCAATAGACGTTAACCAACCAGCTGACAATGGAAACACTGCCCTCCATGCTGCCTCCAACAGTGGTAATCTGCCCATTGTTGAAATTTTGTGTGGTTGTTCTAGGACCAACGTCAACTGTATCAACACCCAGTGTGATCGTTCAACACCGTTACATTTGGCTGTCATGCATGGTGAGTCTATAACAGTTTTTTTTCCCCTAACTCTACTGATATTTGGTTTTGTAGTTTAAAAATGAACTGAAAGTAGATCTCATCCCATTATTTTTTTTTAAATCCTCTGTTTTAGTTAGAAAAAATAAGCTGAGAATTTATTTATTGCTTTAGTTTCTAACAAAAAAATTTTTTTATTTAGTTTCTAAGAAAAAAAAATTATGAGCAATATTTTCTCTAAGTTGATCTGATATGTTGGATCAAGTAGAGTACTTAAAATACAAAATTTTATGATTGAATTATATTTACATATTGTGTTTGAAGAGTGATTTGTTTGATATTTACTTGTTTATAATATGTCTATTTGTAGGCCATGAACAGATTGTAACCTGCCTCCTACGGCATGGTGCTGATCCCCAGTTGAAAATGGCTGATAAAACAGCGACAGATTTAGCTGTTGACTTTGACCAGAAAGAAATATTAAAGTTACTAGAAGATAATGGAAAACAGGATTCAGTCACGTAGTACATCATAGATTTATCAGTAAAGAGCCAAAAGCATATTTTTAAAATGGCTAATTTGTAAGTTACTATGAACAACTTATATTCAATTGTAATATAAAAGATTTTAGTTTTACAGTTTAAGTAAAATCTGGCATAAATAGTTTTATAAGCTGAGTTTAACATTAAAGTATGGTGAGGATAACACAGGCTTTTTGTGCTACTGTACGAGTAAATCCATACTTCAAATCTTAGAAATTAAGTTTTAGAATTTGAATGCTAAAGACTTCTTATATTTCCATAGAGTTTTAGAAAATTATTTTCAATTTAAATCAGGATTTTTAACATTTCAAAAAAAATTCAAAGCTAAGTATAAATAATTGTTTGGATTTACTACATACAACTTTTTTACTTTTGGGAACTTTTACGTATAATGATCATTTAATCTTTTTCATCGAGATTTTCATTCTACTTCAAAAGAAAATAATACTAAAACTTTTTTTTTGTTTGTAAAATGTTGGGTGAAGACAGTTTTACAACTTTAATCAATTTTAGCACCATACAAATTATTATTAACAATAATTCTCTTCATTCAAATAAAAATTTATAAATGCAAATAAGTAGAATTTTAAAAGAAGCTAAAAACCATATTTTGTAAAATGAAAGTATTACTAAAATATATTTTTACCACTATATTTTTCTGTGTGAACTGCAGTATTGCTCACATTCTTCTCCTGTATGTTTTACACAGCATTATCCTGTTGAAATGTGCTTAATTTTATAGATGTCATGGTGTGCATGTTTTTTTTTATGTCAAGATTGATCTCTTGGTTAATAGTAGGTGTGGCTTGTTAGTATGAGTTTAACCAGTTAGAAGTCTTCAAATTAAGATAGGTGATGGGAGCCACTTTTTTTTCAAACAGGTTTAAAAATAATTAATTGCTTATCCAAAAGGATGTAAAAAAAATCAGAATATAATTTATGTCTTGGCTTGTTTTATCATGTCCCTGAGTTCACCAGGTACTAATGGGTACAGAAATTTATATCTGTGCAAGTACAGAATCTAAAAATTCCTAAAGACTCCACTCTTACATTCAGAAGTCAAAGGCTACTTAAATATTTTTTATGATCTCTGTCATAATATTTTAGAAGCATACTGGAAACAGTTGACTAATATGACCAGTTTTTTTTAAGAAAGTCAAATATTATTTTATGCTGTTTTTGTTCCATTTTTTTATATCAAAGAACTGATTCTTTGTTATGATTAAACTTATTCATGTCCATCAGAGCTTATTTTCCCTTTTGGAAGATAGCGATGCCATTTTTTCTTATTACATATCTAGCAAATATCCTAAAAATATAAAACATTGACTTTTCTGAATTTCCTTGATGGCCAAACTAAACTTAAAGACTTGATCAAAAAGACTAAGGTCATCAAATAAAGTGCCAAAGTTAATTTTTGACTGAAGGTAAAGAAATCTGTGCCATGGGATGTATTGTAAATGATTTTATTTTGAAACAGTTATGTATACAGTTCCAAATGCCATCTTGGAAGTATTTATTTAGTAACAACAAAAATATAACATTCGTTGTGTTTCTATTTTTAGTTTCAGAAATCATCTACAGAAACCTGCAAATAAGTGTTATATTTTTTTTTGTTTAAATTGTTTTAGAAAACCCAGTGCCACTAAGGTACATGAACTGGTCAGGCTACGTGACAAAAACTCATGCTTGATTTCAAGAATTTCCACTATGCACTATGTTATGTTTTAATTGCTTAAAGAAAATTAAATAAATACAAGCACCACAATGCAATGCTTGGGATACTTATTTATGTGACTGATTAGTGCTCATGATGATTGTGATATTTTGTGAACTGATAACAATAAACTTGATACAAATATATAATAATGTGTTATTTGGCTTATGTTTCATGGAAAGCAAGTGAAAAGTAATAAAAACAATAGTTGTGTAAATTGTTTATTGACATGAATATGGGACTTTTTAATAAATTGTGGTAACAAATTTGACATTTAAAAAAAAACAATGACTAGTAACTGATTTCCCTACGTGAATAACATTTGGATAAACTGGCCTTTTATTATAATCATATTTTTTACGCAATTAATTTTTAACAATACATATATAGATATAAGATGTTTGTTAATATTAAAAGTAAAATTCTTTCAAAAATGCTGATATAATATGAAAGTCCATGAAATAAGCTTACAAAGCTTGAAAAATCTGGCATAAGTAAAACACGACCGAACTTGATAAGGTATTACTGTTTAACAAATGGAAATTTCAAGTAAATGTAATTTTTTAAACTGAATATTACTCTTTACTATGAATGGAGATTTATTTACTGATTTAAATTTAATAGGAATATTAAATATCAACCTTGATAAGATAACTAACAAATAAATAAAGCTTTGATGCTGCCACTTTCCATATTTAATAAATTACAGACCCTAATTAACTTTTTAAAAACTGACACGTTATATTAATGGTCTCAATGCATTTGATGATGCGTTATAATTATTCTAAAAGTGTTTTAGCCATTATGTTTTTAGAACACCAAGCACACAATTTGTAGACTCAGTCTTCCATGTAAATATATCCTTTTTGTAAGACTAAAGAAAAAAAAAATGAATGAATGTATACAGCAAACAAAAAATGAAACCATATCAGTAATGATGGTAAAAGTAGTTCAATATAGTTTTACTTAACAGTGGTCAGTTTTGAAGTTGGGGGAAAGTCACATTGTGAGATTGTTACAATACCAGTTGTAGAATAATCTTGAATGACTTAATAAGGCCTAACTGGCTCTTTGCATTTTTTTTTAATACAAAGCCAGGTTTAAAAAAAAATTAACAAATTAATTTCAAAATAAATTAGTCTAAGGCCTAAAGACTTTTCGCCTAAATAATAATTTTTTACCAACTATGCATGTCATTGTAATCAGCGTATCTTTAAAAGCATTGACTGTAAATACATTATATACAATAAATACACACGTATAATATAAATTATCTATAAATACTACATATTTAAAAAAAAGAAACTATTTATTAAATAACTAAGGGAAACAATTATTGTTAATAATAAAAGAATCTTGTTAAATAAAGACTAATTTAATTCAACATTCTCTAATATGAGGTAGATTTTTAAAAATAATAAACTTTTATCAAATTGATAAACGAATACCGTAAACAAAGATTCTGCATAAGCTCTGCTAAACATTAGATCTAAGTAAAACATAAATAGGCTATAGAAAAAAAATACGAAATACAATGAGGTAATAGTAGGCTAAGCGATAAAATATAAAATCTAATTAACATGTAATATTCACCTTCGTAGGCTAGATTTTTTAAAAACATAGGTTCTAGGGTTAATAAAAACAAATACTTTCTAAACTAAATATGACTTATTACTGATTCTTTTATTTAAACATTTAAAATAACTCTGTTTCGATACTTAATAATCTTTGGAAAAAAATGGGAAAACATGATTTTCTGATATGAGCTTTTTTCATTAGTTTGGAATTATTGTAAAATAAATAGATATTAAATTCAAGTTCTCGTTGATTAGCCATAGCCTTTCTACACAATCATCACTCGCCGATTATGAAACTTACTACTCAAGAGTTATGGTTACTGTTTGAGTATCGTTTTGTGACTTTGCAGATATGGCTAATCGATGAGAAGACTAAACATCATGGTCACATCTTGGGCTGGGGAGTCCATGGAGGTAAGAGAGGGGGGGGGGGGGGTAAAGTTTACTGGGCTAGGGGAGTCGATGGGTGAAGTGGGGTGTGTTACTGGCCACCATTCCTGCTGCGCCCTCTCTGGTTTCTGCGTCTGTTGATGTTCTGGGGGTTTCTCCTCCGGGAGGGCGTCGGCTCCGTTTCCTCACTCTGCTGGCACTCGGGGGTGAAGGCCAGGTAGATGCCGGCCTGGCACCCCATCTGGTTCCCGGCAGACCCGAGGGAGACACACCGTCCACCAACACGCTGGACCTGTGTCAAAAGAGGGGGGGGGGGGTGAGTAATTTGTCAATGTTGTGCATTGCGGGACGAGGCATACATTATATAAAACTATTCAACTTTTTCAATACACCTACACAACCCCACTACAATATAAATAACATTTTCAACAACACTCATAGTGATTACTGTTTTTAGCCCCCCACCTCCACTCGAAAACAATTACGTTGTGGTTTTAAAAAAAACTTTTATAACCATGTCATTTTGGAGAAAATCACATCATGACAAAATTAAAATTGAGTATGTCTAAGCCAGCTGTGTACCACCTCATGTATCTAATTTTGTTCTAAATTAAGTGGTGAAATATTGAAGGAAAAAAAAAGAAAAGAATGCACACTTCACCATAAGCAACACCGTTTAACTTAACAGATTTCATTATTAGCGTATGAAATCGAACTTAAGTGCCAATTAACAAACATAAAAACCCTCATTAGACACTGCGTAGCTTTCTACATCTGAAAACATTTATTTATTAATTAGTGTGTGTGTGGGGGGGGGGGAGGAGAGGGAGAAGAAAAAAAGCTGCCCTATGGCTATATTTTAAAGAAACATCCCATTTTGAAAATTTAAAAAAAAATCTGGGTACTTTGGGGAGGCGGAGTAAGACAGGTTCGCCAAAAGGTCATTGATGAGCTAAACCCGACCCAACGACACTATTTAAGCTTTGATGCTTATCGACGCCGATGGCTTACCACAGGCACCTCCACATAGCAGTTGATGTTCTCAGGGTGGGGGGTGGCTGGCGTGTACCTCAGCAGACGGGCGTCGTGGGAGACGTTCAGGCCAGCGATCAGCTCCCCGATCCCGGCGTCGGTGGTTCGCGCTGTTGCTGTCGATCGTGTGGTTGTTGGTGTTGTTGCTCCACCTGGGTTCGGCAGTGTCTGAGGACAGAACAGTTTGAAAATGGCAAAAACTATCTTTATTCTTGTTGTGTTTGGTTTTGGTTGTTGTTGGTTGAGGTTAGGGTAAAGTTCAGAGTTAGAGTTAAATTTAGGGTTATGTGTTATTTTCTCAAACGTCCACATTTGCCTATAGACATTTAGTTGAAAAGTAATATATTTCCTGAATCCGGGCAATGCCTGTTATATCTTGCTTAATAAACACACAAGGCACGGTCCTTTAGTGATAAGGTTTTCACAGAGGCCATGCAGGACCTGGCCGAGACGGCTAGTATGTATGCGTGTGTATACGTGTATACGTGTGTATATATATATATATATATATATATATATATATATATATATATATATATATATATATATATATATATATATATATATATGCGATCCCCCCCCCCCCCACACACACAATCGTAGGTCTACTCATATTTCGACACGAGCTAAACACACATAGACAGAAGCGTAGCAACCTATTCCGGCGCCCGGGGCGGACCATCCTGTTTCTATATATAGTTATTCATTTTTGTGTAAAAGCGTCCCCCCCCCCCAGTTGGAAAGGCTTCTGGTGCTTCTAACCAGTTACTATCCCATATTTCGGTGCCTCAAAATTGATATAGAAAACAGTTAAATCAGTGTGTAAAACCTTGTAGTCGTTTATTTTTGTTACTTTGTTTAGAATTCGAGCTTAAAACGAGCTTTTAAATTAATTTTTCTGCCCCTTTTCGCCCCCTTTGGGTCGGCACCCGGGGCGGTCGCCCCACCCGCATTCCCCTAGCTACGCCACTGCACATAGATCCAGAGGCGTCGTGAAGCTGGGGGTGCGGACTACACTGGGTGACACCACTTGGGGGGGGGGGTGACACCAAGACAAACAAATTTCAAGATATATAGAATAAATTTGTCTTTTGCCAGTTTAATGAATGGTTAATTATAGTTTAAAAGTATTTTAGTACACACTGACGATCCCGACAAGTGATGGTGTGGGGGGGGGGGGGGGGGGGGGGTAACACCATGACGTAAACATGCAAACAATAGAGAAAACAATGCTACACCCAGCTGTATCAACAACCGACTGTAGATAAACATCATTTGAATTAAATGTGACAACTTTAAAGGTTTTACAGAGGGGGGGATGTGAGACACCAACTGCAAGATATACAGAGAAAAAAAAGGGGTGGGGGGGGGTTGACACCATGGTGCCGCATCGGGTAAAACCCGATATAGCGACGCCACTGCCTAGATTAAAACACGCATATATACATATACATATATATATATATATATATATATATATATATATATATATATATATATATATATATGCCTACTTGCAAAATGAAGCACCAGCATACACGTGCGTGCGTATACAGGTACAAACGTATATAGATAGTGACACATAAACATACACCCAAAGTAGGCACTTACAAGTGCGTGCACATAGAATCATAAATGTGTTAAATCAAGAGGTAGCTTTATGTAAAAACTAATTACCGCTTGTCTTTTTTCTCGAATCTTCGATAACAAAACGTCATTTGTCCCATGGGTGAGGTGAGAAAAATGCGCCGAAATAACAAACACGACTAAAAACACCATTCTTGTTAAACTATTTATAGAATCCATTTCAAAAGAGCAAACAGAATGTTTATTCACAACGACGAACTGTCTTCAGTGAGAGACAACTTGTATTTAACCAAAGTGCTGACTTCCTTTGAAGAATTATCAAACTCCTAATTAACTTTTAAAATAAACTTGAAATAGAAAAAAATAACTTCTTGTACTTCTGTGCAACTTATAGTGAAGAAATTCGAGTTGTGGTTACTGTCTTATATCTCAATATTCAGGAGAAGAGAAATGTGTTTTTGTTTTTCAATTGAGTTATTCCTCTTGAGTCTGTGCAGCACTATAAAAGCCTAGCCGTGAGTCCCTTATATATAGGCCTTATTTCTTAAAACGGAAAGAAGAAAAAAAAACCCCATGAAGTGAGAGAGACGGTACGAATCTGTCTGGCACCTAACACAGTGGTTCGTGAGTACTGACTGAGTGGGTGAGACGTGGGAGGGAGCGGACCCACCCCTCCACACGCGTGTCTGATTGCTGGAGAGGGAAAAAAAATCTAGAATTAAGCTTTCATTCAAGGTGAGGGTTAGGCTTATAAGACGTGATATGATTGGGTACTCATGGAGGGCTGAGTGAAAGGGTGACTGCTTCAGATAGGGTTATGCTTTTAAAGATCGGGGTTAGGGTTATGGTTTACATGTAAACGACTTGGTGCTTGTAGACTAGTACTGATATGGTAGGAGCGGGACCAATGGATAGCAAGCCACGGCTCCAGAGCAGGTTTTTCTCTCCATATATTTTATTTTGCTCCCGAAGGAGGGGGGGGGGGGGGGGGTGGTGGACTTGAAACATGTGGAGGGGGGGGGGCGAGACGACGGGCGGGGGACAATGGTTAAAGAATATATTTTTAAAATTTTACTAATTTTATTTTCTTTTTGATCTAAACGGGGGGGGGTGTGGTGTGCTCAGTAGGAAATGGGCACTAGTTTAGAGAGATGCCTGAAAGAAACACTGCTCCCATAAAACACTTAAAAACGTACGTAAACTATGTTGTTGAGGAAAGAGTACACGAACGTCATACACATGTTTGAACATAATTAACGTGAGTACTGACTGAGTGGGTGAGACTTTAATTAACGTTGAGGGATTTTTTTTTTAATTGTACAATTTTCATCAAACTTATGGTGCCAAACTTGATTTATTGAACATAAATAAATTAATGGTACGCTTATGACTGAACATATCCAAGACACTGTTAACCATCAGGATGTCATATTTCCATTGTTCTCTTTAAAAAAAAACACTAGACTAGGTAGGGGGTGTGAGAGGTACATATGTCACCAGAGGGGAGGGGGGAGGGGCACTGTATACTAAAAAGGCCATATATAGACAATGTAAAATACCTAAAAAAAAACAAAGTTATCTTACAGTTGTGCTGTTTAACTGGCACTGTTGATAGGTAATACTACAACATCTTTTAATTCAACACCATCTTTTAATTCTACAACACTTTTTAATGGTACACAACCTTTAATTCTACACCACCTTTTAATACTACAACACATTTTAATTCTACAACACCCTACCCCTGCACTTTAAAAACATGTTCCCAATTTACGACACCCTAACTGTCCGTAGGTACCAACAGACTGCCCCCCCCCCCCCCCCCTTCTCCTCCCCCCGTTCAAATTTATCTTAAGGGTTGCGTCAATTCTGATAGTGTTTTCCTGTTGTTAAGAGTTTCTTTAAGAATGATGGCGCACCTTGCCGCGCTAAGTACCAATAATACACCTGACGTTTTTTTTTGACGTTTAAATATTTTTTATCCCGAAAGTTGCGTTATAAAAACGGTGTATATTTAATTAATTGTTTTTTTAATGCAACTGCGGAGGCGTAAGAAATTTTAAAAAATTAGGTGCAGTAAGGTAGACCGAGCAGTTAAAAAAAACGATCAAAACAAGTCTGGAGGTCTAGTTTAATTTTTGTTCAAATCTCGGACGAGATCTAGATCTACACAATGCGGCCGGCGCGTGGCTTCTCTTCAGCACGGTAAATAACATCACGTTTTAGAAGCAAGATCAGACGTGACCCCCAAAAGTAATCAGGTCAACACAACAGTGCTTTCCATTGATAACTACAGGAGTAAAAAAAAAACGTTTATCTGGCCAAGTTTTGATAAGTTCCCGCCAAAAACAGATAGCAGCAGAGGGGAAGGACAATTTACCGTCTGAAGGATGAGAGTTGTCTGGACTACCCAAGTCGAAGCCGCGAGGGGGAGGGGGGGGGGGGGTTCTTACACTACCCATCCAAAACGAGGCTGGTTTGGAATGCATCCAAATTGCGTCAGCGTAGCAACCGCCTATGGTGACAAGAAGTAAACAAAATTTGAAAAACCACCTTGGGGAGGAGGGGAGTTTTAAAAAATGACGTCACGGTTTTTTTGACGACTTTATTTTACCTTCTCAACGTCACAAGTCAGCCTACACCCCCCCCCCCCACCCCAACCCTCAAACCAGCAGGGCCGGCGCTACCTATAAGGCGAACTAGGCGGTCGTCTAGGGCGTCATCTCTAGGGGGCGCAAAATGTTTAATCGCTATTATCAAAAAGTACCTAATAATTAATAACTTTATAAGGAGTAGCGATCTATTTCGGCACCCAGGACGAACTATCAATTTTGCTCCACCACCCCAAAATTAGGTCTATTTAGGCCTACATTTATTCGCGTTGGTAAAAATGTAATACCACCTCCCTAATTTGGAAAGGTCGGGGCGCTTTTTACCAGTCACCTTGCCTTTTTTAATTTGGTGTAACATAATTGATGTAGAAAACGATTAAATAAGTTCGTAATTTAAATATCGAACATTTCAAACGGTTATCTAATTTTAATAGGGCTTGTAAGTCTCGTTTTCTCTTACTTTGAATTAGAAATCTGTCCTGGTGTATAAAGTTTTGTATTGACGGGGTGTTCAAACTCAAAGTATTGTACTTGTTTGGTAAATTTTGATGAATCGTTTAGATTAGATGGGAGTAAAGGCGGAAGGCTGTTGCTGATATGGTTTCGGTCCTAGGTGCTTTGACCATAGGTGCTTTGACCATAGGGGGTTTGAACATAGGGGCTTTGGCCACAATGGGGCTTTGTTTATGTATTAGAGTATATCAAGTAGTCGAGTTTATCGTAAGTTAGATTATTTCAATACAGCACGGAACACATGAGAAAGGTTCTCTAGTTGAAAAATGTTTAGTTTTTTAGGAATCTCCCCCCCCCCCCGCCCGAAGAAAGTCTACCCCCCCCCCCCGAAACGAAAAATTTATATAGAAAATATGTACTTTTAACAGTGTCCGCCACCCCCCCCTTCCCGAAGAAGGTCTGCCGCCCCCCCCCCCCCCCAAAATTTTCAGGTCCCCCCCCCCCCGGAGAAAAAAGTCTGGAAGAAACATTGGAATCCATATTATCACTCTTAAAGTATTAATATATAATATTAAACAGGATGGAATTTATAACTAACTGGACACTTCGTTATTTTCAAATATTTTTTTAAAAATTTAATAAATAGTTCTTGCAATGTCTAAAACAGTTACACGTGTTAAATCTTTTGAAAGACGTCCCTTAATTTAGGGGATCCAAAATTTCAATTAGTATTAGAATGAAGCTCATAATGGATTAAATGTCCATCAAAATTGAATGGAAGTATGTTATAATAAAGTTACCATTTTTAGACTTTTAAACAAAACCTACAATTAAGTATTAAATAGGTAAAATATATTGCTTTTACAAGGTTACATAGCTAATATAAAAGATATTTTATAATTATTACGTAAAGAAATTTAGAGCTTTTAATTGTGTTTTTCAAGCATGTCTTAGTTACATTTGGTTAATTTAGCCATTCTTGTGAAAGTTATTTCCCTTGTATAAAATTTTTGTATTTGGATTTTCAAATGGGAGATAATTCATTGCTTAACTTTACATTCATTTCAAATTCCTTCACCTTAGGTTGACCGCTTACATATGAATACAACTTTAAGTTATTATTTGCTATTGTAACAATTATATAGAGCAGAAATTTTAACCAAAATAGTTTGGTATGTTTTTTTTAGCATTATCAAGTTGAAAAACAAATACATCAGTAGGCGTTGTAGATTGCAATACTTAATGTTAGTAGACATACAGTCTTAGTCGTAAATTAAACATCTAATTAATTGTCTTTTCACATTTTCACCCTCTCCTAAATGATTCATATATAACAATTTTAGGCTGGAATCTATAACGTTTATAACGTTTTATTTTTCAAAAAAAAAAAATCGTTACCTAATCACACAATAAAAACATTTTACAATTATAACTAAAGACAGCCAAGCTTAAAACAGGTAAGTTTTGTTTTGGAACTCACCTTGTGAGGGCTGCAGAGAGCCCAACACTACAAGAACTTTTTTCAATGGTTTTTTTTCCAGACTTCCCCCCCCCCCGGAAGAGGGGGGGCACTTAAAATTTTTCTAAGGGGGGGGGGGGGCTATGTCGTAAAGTACAAAGTAGACTCGTGCACTTAGCAACAATTTCAATAAAATGTAATTACGCTTGCAAACTTGAATTGAAGGAATTAGTCCAAACTTTTGAGACGAAGGAGGCAAGTAAAATATGATTTTGTTGTCTACTTATAACGTGTATGCAATTGATAATAAATTAATAAGTCACTTTTAATTAATTGTTTTCTCATACATATATTCTAGTAATTCATTTGTGTAAAAGGAGGGCGTTTAAATAAGTTTTGCCTAAGGCGCTAAATAACCTGGCGCCGGCACTGCAAACCAGTATCTTTTAAAGATCGATTTCTCTTAAAGTATTGAATGAGCTTAGTCAGCATAGGATATATTAATCAAATTCTATCACAATTTACAAAATTAGTTTTGTAAAACGCGAAATAACAGTTAAAATTCAGTTTCTAACATTGCTTTTTTAAAATGCAAAAGTAGGACTATCTGAACACCCCCGCCCCTGCCCCCCACCTCCCTCTCGTCACATATCGTCCCAAAATTACGACCTCCCCACTAGGAGTGTGACGTCATTTATGGACGACCCCCATGCCCCCCCCCCCCCCCAAATCCTCAAACTCCAGTGCCATAACATATATATCGATTTATGTTTCACAAAAAAAATTACCAAAAATATTTTTT